AAATTTGAAAATAATTTTCTTGGATCATCAAACTAATCATGCAGGAAATTCAAGTGCATGTAACGCTTTTGCATCAAAAGCGTTTTTGACAACAACGTTTTACCAACTGCAGTTTGAGCGTTCTACAACAAAATTATCTTCAGATACACATCTAGCTAAATTTTTAGATACTTTAGCCAAGTCATTCTTTCTGTAGATTTCTAATTGAATATTTAGTAGAAATATATTCTTCAATTATATTTTAGACGTTATAAATAAATATGACGTTCTCGGTTTTAATTCCTATATTTTCTTTCCAAATTGTTCTAATTAAATTTGGAGTGTCAGAGAATAATTGAAGGATTCAAGAAAGGTAGCTAATAAAAGCTTGCTAGTCGACTTCTCGAGTAAATACGACGCCAGACGCCTCTTAAAGATGTTAACTGATTCCGATTCACAGTAATCGCATCGGGAGAGAAGATCGATGTAGTAAGACAGAGAGGATGAATGCCAGAACGGGACAGAGCGAAATGAAAGAATCGCGCCGGCTGCGGTGCAGGCGATCCGTGATCGAGAAATCCGATGCATCTGCAATGCTTGTCGTGCTCGATCAATTGCCACGTCAGCGATTGTTGGCTCGTATGAATTATTGCTTCGATCGATGATGGTCTAATGAAACCGACCGTTCGTTTGCGCTACCAGATATCCGCGCATGGATTCGTCGAATAATTTACGTATAATAGCGAGAAAAAAAATGTCAAAGATCGCACGTGCGGAATTTTACGTGTCTGATTGCGGTCAGGAAATGTGAGAAAGGTCGTGATATCGCAATCTCTGCTCTAACGCCGGATAAAATTACGCACCGTTGTGTTTGCATACGTATTTGTTACACAAACAAGACAGTTACGTCAGCTGGTTTGATAATTCGCGCATTGTATACAATTTTGCGACTCTTAACTCGTACACGTCGCTTTGCGAAACTCATATTTGCTCCAACTTTTTCAAGAATATATATGGTTAGAAATTTACGAAACAGTCTTTGTAAATTTCATTCTAAAAAAAAAAAAGAGTGAACTCTCATTCTCATTCAAGAGTACAAACATTTTCAATACTGCCAGTATTCTCACTCGTTTTGGAGTAAGATTTCATTCTAAAAAATTTCGAGGAAAACGAGAATCTAAAGAAATCTTATCATATCTCTAAGATCATTGCATAATACGATAAGAAAATCGTGGAAACACGAGGAATCATTTTTGGCCCCCCTTTGAAATGCATCAGATGCTGAAAACGGACGAGGTAAAATTGTTCGCGTATGGAAAAAAAAATAGATTCGCTGATTCAGCAAAACTATGACCGGTATTCATAGTCAGTTCTTATTTGAAGACTGTCTTAAGTAATGTCTTAAGACGCGAATGCAGCCCTTTGATTGGTTCGTGACATCTTAAGACTGTACTTAAGACGATCTTGAATATAAAAATTGCAGACTATGAATATCGGCCTATAGCTTGCTGCGATAAAAATTAACATGTAACTAAGAAAATTTAGTGGTTTAACAAAGAAATTATGTCTGTAAGCATATTTATCAGTACGCTCATAGAACAAACTCATCTTTGTTAGTATTATCATTGCTATTGCAAGAAATTAGTTCAATTGAAGTAGCTATAATTAGGTGTATAAATAAGTTTCCGCCGTTTTTTCACAAAAAATTGGGCATTTATTGAAAGAACGGTAACCTAATGTTTTATTCGAAGTATTGTCCATCGCTAGCCACTACTTTTTCCCATCTTTCTGGTAATTGATGGATTCTACGTCGAAAAAAACAAAAAACGTTGAAACTACATTTTTTGTCTTCGACGTCAAATTCACCGTTCTTAAACTTTTGAAACCACTCACGGCAACTTCTCTCACTTAAGGCAGCCTTAACATATGCTTTTACAAGCAATCGATGCGCCTTAGCTGCAGATTTCTTCAAATTAAAGAAGCTCCCGCAAATGACGTTTATTCGACTCAAAACTCGACATTTTCACACGAAAAAAGATATACGATGCTGATACAAAATCGCTAATATTTCAAGGTTATGTTGTTGCCAGATGTCCAACCTTAAGCCCAAGACACAATGCGAGGGAATAGCGATAGCGATATAAGTTTCAACCTATCAAAAATGTGTATTCCAGTGTATTCGATTTCTGATAAGTTGTCTTGGGCTTTACGATATGACGTTTTACAGCAGATAATTTTAACCATAACATACTGGTAGCGCCATCTTTTGTCAAACGGCGAAAACTTATTTATACTTCTAATATATTTACACTTGCAATACATGTTTTAATAATTTTAGTAAAAAAAATTGGTGTTGTTATTACCAAAGAAAAGGATTGTGGGTAAAGTGTGAAAATTTTGCCGACGGAAGAATACGTTGATAATATTTGTAATAACCGAAACGAATCGTGGCGCCAGCGTGACGACGCAGGCGTCCGGTGTCCGTTCGGGCTACACCATTTTCGTGATTGCATCATATTTTTGGAAAGCGTTGCCAGCTTTGACTGTGCACATACGGTTTTATATTTCATACGGTTTTCAATTAAGACGTGATCTGGCCGTATCGTCCTCCTGTTAAATTCTCTGGAGGCGGGAGCCATTAATTAAATAAGAAGAAGAAGAAGAAGATTAGGCTTTCTTCTATTGTTTGAAGACAGAGTTCGGAGAATCATTCGCCCGCTGCAGACGTGTTTCGGTTTGGGTGCTATCTAATCGTATATTTTGAGAATATTGCCGACTCTAACTGTGCATAAGTATATTGTGTTTGTGATAAGGCTCAATATGTATTAAACAACTAATATAAAGAGGCAAGGGCAATGAACCAATAATTTTCATTAAAATCTTTAAATCAATCTAATATATTGCGAAGAATATCACGTAATTATGGCATTTCGTCCCAACTTCCACTACTGGACTCATCAGTAAGGCATTGTAGTGGAAGCCTACCTTAGACGCTTGTTTAAGTTATTAAATCGAGATTCTATATATATACAGATATACGCGTATCAAAGCACTTGCGAGAATTTTTGCGAATATCTATAGACCTCTGATGGCGGGTCGACGTAGTAATATTCTTCGCAATATTTATTTAAAGTAATATATGTATTCCCCTCCCACCCCCCCCAACTTGCGCGCCGAACTATCGTCGATCTTGAAATGCAACTCTAATAATCTGAAATAAGTATTATTGTTCCGCGAATTGGTGGACCCGTTCTTAGATTCTTAATATGTTCTAAAGCCGGATTATCATAGCATGCAGAATGCGGGTATATATACAATCTAAAATACCATAATTAGGTTAGATTAGATTCTAATCTTGCGACCTGCGACCCGCATTCTACGTGCTATGAAGATCCAGATATTAATATAGATTGTATTCTTTTAATTTTTCAATAAAAACCATTTATCAGAATTTGTTGTTTTAATTAACTCGAATTGTTAGAGCAACTATAATTCTTTGCTACAATAAAGATTGCTAATGTAACAAGTTTCTTCATTATAGCAGCAAAAGTATATACGCTGTCTTAGCTAGCATGTTTTATTACAAATTTTAATCTTTATACTAAATTCATTTTTGCAGAAAGTGTTACCTTTGTTATATTAAAAAATTTGCTATATATTAGAACGAATATGATTAGCTACAATCGCTAATTTAATTCAACTGTACAACTTTGCTACTTTAACATAGAAAATTGGCTATCACTATATTACGACTGTAGATTTGCTAAATCAGCGAAGTTCTTAGTTGCTTTAGTGAATCTGTTTTTTTTTCCGTGCGTAAGTCACGCGATGACAAGCGTCTTCCCCGGAGATACTAAAATCAGCGAAATTAGTCTCCGCCTTGGAATCCGAGTCGGCTCCGGTCGGCAAAGCGGACGGGAGGAGAGGAGCGACGACGGCGCAAGTATATTATAATCCTCTCTTGCTCGAGAGTCGAGTCCCTGTGCGCGCCAGATGGTACCAGCTGGATGACGCATCAAAGCAGAAAACCTCCCGCGTGTCCGAAGCGCGGTTCCGCCCACGGAATCGCGAGGAAAACACGTGCGCCTCCGTTGCTGCCGCCGCCGCCGTCGTCGCCGCCACCACGCCGTGCCGTCCTCTATCAGGTTGCGAATAGTCTCGTAGTGCGAGAGAATTCAGTATTAGGATCTTGTAACGCACCTATAGGTTACTACTAAAGAACATTATTTATATCTACTTACATGTTGTCCGCACTGTGGACACTGAATGGCGCCACATTAAATTTCAATAGCGAATTCCTCGAGCAGTTTATCTTACATTAATCATAATCTGACTGATTATACCCATGATACAGTTTAGGGTTGTCGATGTTGAATAGGAATATTATAAATGTATTCATCAACGTAAAAATTACGATTTATATATACTTCGCATTATCGAATATATATTCACATTATTCGATATGTATAATATATAGATATATATATGTATAAAATATGAATATATCAAATATATTGAATAATAAATATATATGATTATATATTCATATGATGCCGAATATATCGAATAACGAATATATTCGCTCATTTATTCAGTGTTAGGGGAAGGAAGGGCAAAACGGAAAATATCATGTACCTATCAAATATCCGAGGGACCTTACAAATCGCTATCTTATGAAATAAGATAGCGATTCGTACGCATATATATTTAAGATCTCAACCGCGGCACGTTCAAATATTGGAATAGATATTTAAAAAAATTTGCTACCATATTCTTTCTGCTTTGCTTTCTCCTTCCGTTTTGCCCTGCCTTCCTCTATGTAGAAATTTCCATCCTAGTGCCACCTAAGGTGTCATTGTATATTTTCCAACAAACTGTATTGCTTGTTGGAAGACATATCTTTAGAAACTCGGAATATTTGTTCTCTTTTTCTTCAATACCCAAATATATATTGTCTCGTTTATAATTTTTAGGGATTTTAAGTGGCACACAAACTGTATTTTTCTCTATTTTGTTTACAGCTGGTGTCATGGCGGATTCCGAGAGAGATAGCGGCTCTTGCAGTAGTGCCGACGAAGACAGTAGATCGAGTTTGCATTCACCTACGTCATCTGAGGACAGTGTCGAAGTGCAGGTGATACCTATTTCGTTGCGGAACAAGCGAAAATTAGCAGAGCCACGGAAAATTCAAGAACCGGCAATCATCGCAGCGCCATTGAAGAAGAGACGGTTTGATCCTATTTCCGAGGAGACAACCATTGATCAAGAGGAGACCAGATCGCTGAACATGCCGAATCCTTTTCGACCATGGATTCCCGCTTCCTATAAAAATGAATCCAAGACAACCGCGACTTCGTCGACGGTTACGTCGACAAATACGATTTCAAATACCATAACAACAACTACAACGACGACGACAACGATGACGACATTGTCTAGCGAGAGAGAAGAAGAAAAAGAAGAAAGAAGGAGACAGCAGGATGAGACGACGCAGAGGCTGCACGAATCATTCAGAAGACTACAACATCCTACCGGTCACAATCGATCAGCTGTTGCATCTCGACGAGAATCTCGTCAGAGGTTAGAACCGGTAGCACCAATAGCAACAACGACGACATCTCCGTCGAATACGATCTCTCTACCGCATCCTAGGCTACAGGACGAGCCATTATCTTTGGTGGTGAGAAACGAGGTACCCAGAGTGCCGTCGCATCCTGCTGTAAGTGGCTCCTACGAAAAGACGCCATCGTATATGATGGAACACTTGTTGGCAGCTTCGTCCAGTCGGAATCATCAAAATCATCAGACTCATCAGAGTCAAGGAAGTCATCAGAATCACCAAGTGGCCCCCACAACATCGAGACAACATCATCAGGGCGGCCAACAGAGAAATTATAAGAACATGACGAGAGAGAGACGGATAGAAGCGAACGCTCGGGAAAGAACTAGAGTGCATACCATCAGCGCGGCCTTCGATACTTTAAGACGAGCAATACCTGCATATTCACATAACCAAAAGTTGTCGAAGCTATCAGTACTGAGGATTGCCTGCAGCTACATCATGACGCTTAGTAAGATTCTCGGGAAGGACGGTGAAGTGATGGCCGCAAAAAACAATGGCCTTGCAGGCTTGAGTAGCTGTGTGGAACTGGTCTCTAGGACCATTCAGACGGAGGGTAAACTCAGAAAGCGGAAAGAAGACTGAACGAATCGCGTTTTCACCTGAACAAGATTGGAACGACGGACAAGGGAATCTGTTACAATAGAAACGGCGAGGAATGTTCCGCATTGTCAAACGCTTATACTTCTATTCTCGATGCCATGTGATTCACGGGAAAGGGGAGAACGATGTAAAGTTAAGTAATCTAAACAAGTAATTATCGCCGGTTTTTATGCTGTGCGTATTAATTCGTGGAATCGACTAGGAATGCGTTGACTAGAGTCGCGAGTCACGAATGCGATTGAAGGATTTTAGAAAGTAGTGATGATAAGATCATTTAAATTGAAACGCGAAAAATGTACTCTCGATATTTCTTGGAGTGAAATCTCACACACTCCAGAAAAGTGAGAAAATATACTGCCACTATTGATAAAGAGTGAAATTATTTGCACTCTTGAATAAGAGTGGCAGACTTTCATTCTTTTTTAGGGAGTGAGTTTCCATCTCTAAGAAATTTAGAGAATATAGAATAACTACTTGTCATTTTACAAAAATTGTACATTACGCTTTTAAAATCATAATAAGCTTTACATTTTAATGAATACTACTATAGTAAAGAATTTCGCGACTCCCACAATGGGAATTTATCTATATATCGATTACAGTTGCGCAACCAGACAATAAATTTTAGGAAGATTCTCATACGTAGGTCACGCTTAAATTTACAACAGATACTGCTACAGATGTTGCACCGTATCACACACGGAATTTACAATAGAGAATGGCGAATGTTCATGTAGGATTTAATCATTCATGATAGAAGCTAGTCTTGAAATTATTTTAACCCTTTTGAAATGGTAATATCCAATACATCTAATTTACTAATCTTATAAAATATAATACATCTCCCTAATAACACACTTTATCTAAGACATCCTTACCCACACAACACAGAATATTTATGATAAATATATATTACTATTGAAATGTTATACATAAATATTTTCTACATATTTTACGTAAAGCATTATTCAAAATATTATTAAAATATAGACTGAATATACAATAATATTTTATGCAATATAATAAATATAAATAAATATTTCTAATAAATATTTTTTAACTGGATTATAATGTCTCATTAAGTATTTTTTTTCATATCACTTGTTATAACATATACAATAATTATTTTATATTTATAATAAATGTTTATGATCTGTGCAACTTAAGACCTCACAAAAGTTTCTACAAAATACTTCCAATAAATTTTATAAATATTTAGAAATATTTTATAAATATTTAGAAATATTTTGTAAATATTTTATAAATATTGTGTGCTGTCTGGATAGGATGTTCAAAGGATATATTGACATTCTAAGAATGTCTCCTGGAGTGATATTAGGGCTGAATTTTTATATAAAAAAAAAAAAGAAATTTAATAATTTTTTCTTAAACCTAAAGGCTAAGGACGGTCACACAGAATGCTGAGAGAGATTCGGATATAACTCCCGACCGAAGTAATATTTTTCGTAATAAAATTTACGGATTTTCAGCACATTAAGATCTCTCATCATCACAATAAGATGCCTGATTGAGCATCAAATTATTAAATTGCTTGTCAATTTAATTTGTGATATTAACTACAGTAGTTTAGTTGCGTCTCTAAGTCCGAAAATTCAATTCGACGCGCAATTCAAACTGTACGTATGTATGTGGTACATCAATTTATATAGAAATATTTAAGCACCTAAGATCCAGTTACAGGCTTTCGACCGTTACAGGTTTTATCTCTTACTTATTGTGTACTTATATTTTACAGTCTTAACAAATCGTTTATTGTTATTTACAATTTTTAGGCTCTCTTGTAGAATGTAAACTCTAATTAAATTTATGTACCTACATACTAATTTAATTAGTATACTGTTTGTAAACATTCAATTTTAATTCAATTTTAATTAAAAAATGTCTTATTTTTAAGTAGATTCAATTTAATTTATAAGAGAGCTTCTAAAAAAAATAATAAAATTAATTTTTTTTAATTTACACATTTTCCCCAATTTATTATTATTTTCAGAAAAATACATTCGTAAAATCATATTTTCCAAATTTTTATAGCAAAAATATAAAAGCCATTTTTCAATCCTAGAATCCACGTTTTTCATGAAAAAAATGATATAATTGTTTAAAGTTCCATTTTCATAACGATAACTTCATAGAAAGCATTATAATAAGCATGTATTTTTCTATTTTAAATATTTTTCGCAATTTGTTACCTTTTGAAAGGGTTAAATGTGAAGCATGCAAATGCGCTTTAGCTCGGCTAAGCAGATTTGTGTAGAGCGACGATTTTCAAACTAAGAATCATTAAAATGCACTTACTTCAACGAAAGGACAAAAGAATCGACCGATCGTCTGCAATCTGTTGAACCAGTTTACGACATGCCAATTTAGGATATATGCGAAAAAGAACGAATTAAAAAGGAAGACAATAATATTGCTTGTGAAGTTCTTGATATGAAGGCGGTGAATGTTACAAGTTTACGACGAAACTACAAACGGTATCGTCCTCCTATAGAAATATATGATAGTCAGGTCAGGTAAAATACGCGTAATAAAAGTACAGCTATAACTAAATAGAATCTGTTAGGATTGTCTCATTTTCAGGAAGACTTTCCAAACTCTAGCACTCACTATTAATGACAAATAATAGAACACAATTGATATAAATGTAATTCGTTTTTTAAAAGAATCGGTTTTAATATTAAAGTTGAATATTATTGTAATATCGACAATTAAAAAAAATATGTTGAATAATTTTGATTCCGAGATGTTGAATTGTTAATAAAAGGATCGTTGCAACAGTTCGTTTAAATTTGATTGTCATTATTGCTATAGCAAGAGAAGGACATTACTTGATCCTGAGACAATTAAAGCTATGGTCTAATCTACATTAGTCGTACAGTCTGTGTTGATGTAATGAGTTTCACTCATGCGTACATTATACATTTCACACGTAGGTATATGTACTTCGTATTGAAGTTTTGTCGTCAAATTATAGATTTTTTTTGTAGAAGACCTCCGTAAACAGTGCACCAGAGGAACAGGTTTTAAAATCAGTGCAGGCTGCTTGAGCTCTCAATCGATTTAGGTCGCAAGCTTGTGGCGATCAGTTGCGACAGACAATCTGATGCCAATATTAAAATTGACACTTTAGATTGACTGTCGTAACAAGCTTGCGACACAGCTTATGCGACTATTGTAGATGGGGCCAAAACGAAGAGCAGTTGGCATATGCTCACACACAGTCTTTTCGCGCGGTTCCGTCGAGACTGCGTCTTGAATTTTGTAAATAGCGAATGTAATGTTACGATTAACGTGTTATGCGAGTGTACAGTACAGTCGAATGTGTTACGTGGTGTAAGAAAGGAGCGCATTTGCACGTTGGCCTTATGCGACGATCCGATGCGATATCCAATATGTACCTTTCTATGTTATAAGATAAAGAAAACTTCGGACAAAGTTCAAATGAAAGTGAAACTCAACAACGAAAATTATGTCTTTTTTGTGCAATACCCTTCTTCTCCATCCCATCACGATCTCCTTCTGTAACTGTTATTACTTGCTCTGAAATTAATTTTGATTTCCATGTTTTGAGGGTCCTACTACTGGACTTGTCAGTAAGGCATTGTAGTGGGAGCCTACCTTAGACGCTCGGGGGAGTTTTTAGATTGAGATTCTATATGAAGGGTATAATTCGCGTATCTTGAATACTTGCGAGAATTGGAGCAAGTCCCGTTGGATCTCTGATGGTGGGTCGCCACATAATGTTGCTCCTTATTTGCGAATTCCACTCGTCAAAAAATAGAAAAAAATATACACGGAAGCTTTTAATTTCTATCGCTTAAATATTATTGCCTTAAATATAAAATTATCAGAAAAATCTACCGTGTTCTTCATCGTAAGTATCTTAACCTGAGAATAGTCACCCCCGAGATGTTTTACATCTCAACGACGAAAAAATGTAAATTATTGTAAAATATTATTTTGTATGAACATTAGTTAACAGATTTTCTTTCTTTTTTAACAATTATTCTTTAAATATAAAATTCTATTGAAAATCTGCAAGATAAAAAGGCGTTATATTAATTAAAATCATATAATTACTAATAATAAATATTGCAAAGAATATTACTACGTCGACCCGCCATCAGAATATTACTACCTCGACCTGCCATCAGAGGTCTATCGATATTCGCAAATTCTCAAAAGTGCTTTGACATGCGTATATTTCTTTATATAGATTCTCTTTTAAATAACTCCCCCAGGCGTCTAAGGTAGGCTTCCAGTTCCACTACAATATGCCTTACTAATGGGTCCAGTAGTGGAAGCTGGGACGAAACGCCAAGTAATATTCTTCGCAATATATTAAATTAATTTAATAGGATTTTTAATGTAATTTATTGGCTTTCATTGCCCTCTTTCTCTATATTATTTGTTTTAAACATATTGCGCCTTATTTTCAACATTTTTAAAATCTTTATTTTTTGGAAACACTATCATAATAGTTGCTTTCCATTTACACACAAGTGAAACTGAGTTTGAAATGAGGTGAGTATGCAATATCTCAGATTAATGACGTTATTACTTGCTTACTTTGATAAAATTTACAAATAACAACAGATTCATAACCTCAATTTTAAAGTGAGTCTACGAATTGCTCAGTAAAGCACATGATCTCGATCTTGCGCAGTTTGTAGGTAAAAACTTCAGTTGAATCTCACTTGTCAGAATGCAAAGAAAACGCGCATTCAACTTATGACGTCACAAGCAGTGTTGTTACAAGATGCTTTATAGGCCTGTCCTTTTTAGCTGAACTTTTGCACCAGTTCATCTTTCTTCCTTTTCTCTCCAGGAGAAGAGAAAAGAAAAAAAGATGAACTAGTTGCTAGTTGCAAAAGTTTAGTCAAAAAGAACAGACCTTATTTTCAATATCTAGGTACAGGTACAGGTATTCTAGAAAAAATGTACCAAGGTATATAGGGAGGGGGATACAAATATTAAAAAAATAAAATACCTATAGGGACACAGGTATAACAGATATTTTAAATGTACCTTAAAGGTACCTACTAGGTACTTTTATTTTTAACGTAAAATCTCAGAATAAATTGCATTTTCATGACAAAATGACGTTTCTAACGTTATTTTGATGTCAAAATGCAATTTCGACAGCTTGCTTGTTAGATATAATCTATATATTTCATATATCTGTACGTAATATTTACTTATTATTCATGTATGCATTTTATATGTATGTAACTATGTGTAAGTAACTAAAGTGTACCTAAA